TTCTGCTCTGCAGGCCAAGTCTGAGGCAGGTTTTCCCACGCTACTCTGCAGCTTATGGCGACCTTTGCTTTTGGCAAGAGCGGAGATTGCCTCCAAGCAAATCCGGCAAAAGAGTTTGAGGATGTCTTGCTGTTGCACAAACCAACCAGCACTTTTATTATTCTGAGTTGCTGATTTTCTTTTTCTAGTAGACAAAGTATAATTCAGCATTCAGCTTGTTATCAATCATTTCTCTGGGATGGGTTCAAGAGCAAGGTGGTGGGAAACCTCTCACACCAAGGGCTGTAGTGCAGGGTCTAACGGGATGGAACAAGGCAGATCTTGTAACATTCATGCTGGAGTGGTCCTTGTCTGTGAAACCCTTTGTGCAGGCTCTGTGGGTGATGCTGTGAGCACTTGCTCTGACACCACAACTAAGCGAGTGCTTTAAGGGAAGCTGATCTTTCCAGTTCATGCTATTTACTTGAAAACTCTTACTCTGGCATGCAGATCCTGCAGACCTTTGCTTAGCACCTTCACTGACATTTTTTGGACGGGTCTCTTACCTTGACAGCATCACTACCAATCTGATAAACTGGCAAGGTGACAGCAGAGTTACTCAGATACTGTGGATAACAAACAAAGAGTGGATATTTGAGTGTGGAAGTTGCCAAAGACAGAAGAAAGACCTTGAAGCAAGGAATTCCTGTTTTCTTAGCTTTTTTCTGGAAGTTACTCAAGTCGTAAGGTGATGAAAAATTATTCACCAGCCCTATAGACAAATAATTGTATCTAAATAAAAAAACTGAGATCTTAATCTTAAGATCATTGCTAATCTTAAGTAGCAAAGCTGTCACCTGTGTAATGCTCTGATATAATCACTTGTGACTGCCGAAACAGCAATTTTATCTACTTCATCTGAGCTTTATCTTTTCTGACCTGTTCACAAGTATTTTGGAGGAATTGGTTTAATTTGAACTCTACCTAGACAGATAAATGCTTAGTCCACCTCTCAGGTGTCTGGAAGTCGTAATATTTTGTGACACTTCTAAAAGGTGTAACAAATCAAAACAGACTTCTCTGTGAAACGGATCAGGAACTGTGCCAGACTTCATCCCCCAAAAAAGCATGCAGGTTAACAGTGCAAGAGGTGAGAGCATGGCAAAGACTAATGGATAGTGACTGGTGAACTCTGAAGAATTTGGAACTAGGGTACTACTCAAATTGGCTTTCAAATGCTTGGAGCTTAATTGAATTATCAAGCGCTCTTGAGGCCTGGAGACCTCAACAGCAGAGGTTTTGCTGTGAAATTTCCAGTGCTTCGGATTCTTATTTTGATGAGAAAATGAAAAGCTTTTTTCATTACAATTTGGCATTTGTTGCCTTCACGTTGGCCAAACCCTGGGGCAGAAAGGACAAGCTAGGGGACAGAGGCTGGGAGCCAGAAATGAGACAAATGTTTTGTATTCGGGTGAAAGGAATGGGGGAATCATATGAATCCAGTTATAAAACTTTGGGGGGGTGAAAAGGCTCCTCTAGTTCATGGATCCTTTTGGCTAATAAGCCTGCTCAAAAGGCTTTTTCAGGTAACTGGTACCATGCCCTGATCATACTCCCAGCAGCAGCCCAAAGCTCAGGAGCTGTGATGGTTTAGCACCAGAGTAGCTTACCTTAAGGTAGTGCTTTACAGCCTGAAAGATAAGAACTTGCCAACCCTACAAGGAGGTTCCTGGAAGAGCTTTTCCATACAGAGACTGTGTTTCATGCAAGGTCAGCCAGTGACAGAAAATGAAAAGTGGTAGCTTGGGTGTTTGAAATATCTTGCAATTTGTCCCAACCTGAAATCCTAGTCCTAACTCATGCTCTAGCCAGGATTTACCCCTGGAAGGGCTTAGACATGCATGCAGTTGCGTTTTAACATCCAGACATAGAAGTCTTCAGATTTTGTCAATTCTTGATCCATACAAGAGATTGCTTAAATATTGCTTCAGTTTCCTTAACTAACAGGATCTTCAGAAATCAAGTGCAAAGCATACCTTTTTCCAGTTCTTAACTTCTTGATCAATCTTTTCATCTATGTAAGTCAAGATAATGTCAGAATATGAAAAAGAGAAATCAAAATAAAACAGTAGATGAGCAGCAAACTTAGACTTCATCGAGCTTTTCCATTTTCACTCTAGAAACTTCTTTGGTTCAGACCAGACACCAACAGAAGCCTGTTAAATACCAGCAGTGACTTTAACGAGGCTCACAAGCAGCAGGGCCCTCCCAATCAGCCTGATAGAAATCATGAAAGAGACTGTTCTGACCAAAAGTAAATCTATTGTTTAGGTAGTCACATAGTTCCTATTTTGCTGATTCAAGTTCAGAAAGTCGGATTTAGATTTCGAACACATTTCCAAATTTGTGGTCAGACTTTCTGCCTGAGCTTAGTTTATTTCCTGGTGAAGTATATATTATCCTCGTTGTCTCAATCATGTCTAATAGCTTCAAAGAAATGGTGATTTTTCATTCCACCAGCAAATGGATATGAGTGATTCTTACGCTTTAATTTTTTTTTGGTGGGACCAAAGTATCACACTCTCCAAATTGCACAGGCAAGGAGCGCAATTAGTCTCCACTTCCCAGAGATACCACATGAAAAGCTTTTGAAAAGATAATGGGCTGAAAATGACACCATTTAGTCACCCGCACACACTCTACAATCCAGCTGTATTTCTGGAATGCATTTAGAAGGTGCAATTAGGGTCGCGCATGCTTTGAAATAGTGAGCAAAATTCTTAACTGAGGTTGAAATTAATTTTAGTTTCCAGTACTCCATCTATAAAAGCCACCCAGTGTTGATGGGGTGTGATCATGGATATCTATTTTCTCTCCAGGTTTTGCATCATCACAAGTGAGGTAAACTCTCTGTGAAACAATAGGTAAGGACTGATAACCTGCAATTAATGTTGATGCACTAAGCGTCTGCCCTTTGGGGAATTACCATTTTAGTTCAGAATAAAAAACCCTGCAAGAGTGAATCAAATCAGCCTTAACTCAAAAGTTCCTGCCACAGGGAGTTTCCACCCTGCCAGCTCCCAACAGATGAGTGATGGGATGAGATGTGTTTTGGAGAAACTCATCTAAGAGAGATTAAAGGTAGGGGTTGGTATTCTTACCAGTGTGTGTTTCCCATGTCATCTTCCTCCCACTTGTACCTTCAGCCAGCCTACATTTACAAGTTCATCATGTAACTGCAAAAATTTTTACTACCATTTTAGGACTCTTCAGTAGTCAAAGAAAAGAGACTAATATGTCTCTTCTGGTAACAAGCTAAAATTTGTATCATAAGAGCATCAATACATGCTCTTATCCACAATATTGTCCACCATATTGTCCACTAAGTTGCTCCAGGGGAGGTTTAGATTGGATATTAGGAAAAATTTCTTCACTGAAAAGTTGGTCAGGCATTGAAATAGGCTGCTCAGGAAAGTTGTGTAATCACAACCCCTAGCGTTCAAAAGACGTGTGGATGTGGCACTAGGGAGCATGGTTTCCTGGCTACCATGGTAGTTCTAGGTCAACAGTTGAAGAACTTAGAGGCATTTTCCAATCTTAGTGATCCTATGATTCTACCTGGATGACTGCACCAGATGCAGGGCAGGTGCCAAGCAACAGAGCCCCGGGTTCCAGCCGCCTCTCCATGTCCTTGAGACCATGTTTACAAAATCAGTCGTTCAGTCTTGGAGACTGCTGAGCGTTTGAGTCTGTTTTGGGGTCTCCTGGTGCTCCATGTTTCTTTTGGACATGTGTTCAGGAAGCCTGAGGGAATGTCTGAATCTGCTCTGAAGGACAACTCCATGGCCATATTCTTGGATAGTCTCACACATTTACGTGCTTGAAGGCTGTGGGTAAGGGCACCAGGAGCAGATCATTGGAAATGCTTGGAAATGCTTGATAAAATGCCGAATACCTCACCAGAATACAGGGCAGCTGGGGAGATATGAAAGGGACTGGATCCTGTACTTGCACCCTCTCCAAATGCCTCTCTTTCATTACAGGATAGACTTAATCTGGCATTCAAAGCAATATGTATCTCATATCAGCTTCTCTGCATAAATGCCTGCATTCACTGCATCTGAAAAAGATGATGAGATCTGCCTGGGTAAGAGCACTGTTGGATGCTCAGGGGATGAGCACAGATCAGTGTGTTCCCCTGACCAGTGTGATCCATGAGAAATTACCACTATTCAGAGAGGAGAATGCCAATATCTTTTTTGTTCTCCACAGTACTCCAAAAAAGCTCTCCAACATCTTGCTTTTATTAATCCTTTTGCTATAGATTCCATAGCCAAGGGACATCTCTAACCACAAGGCTTGTCCTGCATCCATGATGCTTTGGAGCATCTTAGGAAGCTGAATGAGGATGGCAACAAGTTTCTTTCTGTCTTTCAGTCTTCCTTTAATGCATCATCAGACAGCAGGAGGAGGACAACCAAGGTTAAAGCCCTAGAGGTAGTTTATCCTCATTAAAGGTCCAGATTTTCACAGAAAACCAAGAAAAGTGAGTTGCCAATATTTCACAGACTCTCCTTTCTCAGAGCTGAGTTCAAAGCTGTTACTGTCGCCTGAGGGCAGAGCCTGAATTTCCAATATTTGAAAATACCATCCAAAAAATCTGTCAAGGCTAATATGATGGATGGGCTATTGCTAGAGGGAAGCTTGGCAATTCTACGTCACAACTTAAAATTATCCCTTATAATACGTTGGGTTTTACATATTACAGAGTTCCACAGACATTGATCCTCTGCAGATCTCTGCAAGACCCAGCCAGCACTGTTGTTCCCACTTGGCAACCAAGATGCTTTCAGGGTAGAAGCTGAGGTTAACTGCCAACACCCTGCAAATCTGGAGGTGTTTGATGCAAGATCAAACTTCAGGGCTCCCGTTAGCTGGAAGCACACATCCACATCCCCTTCCTCCCTCTCCAGCATCTCTCCACCCAACCCATGCTTGCAAACCACACCAGAGACTGGGAGGAAGCTTTCTAATTTTATAATTTCCACTCTGAAATGTTGGAAAGCTTCCTTTTTCCATCCTGGACTTTGTTGTAATGCAGCCATTGTGCATCCTCCTGAAAACTTTCAAATGCATCAATAGTGGCAGTTTCCTGCAGAAGAAAAAGGATTTGCTTCAGTTACAGCAAGTGGGAACCTGGCCAAGAAGAGTCATAAAACCAGAGAACGTTGATTTTTTAAAAGCACAATTATGTTAGTGCATTTCAATGTACCAAATCAGTCACAGGAGAGCGGTTAAAGTGGCCTTGGGGCCAACCTCCAGCTCCTGGAGAATGGTGTCAGGGGAAAGATAATCAGGCTGATGCCAGTGGATGATCTAGCAGCTTTTCCTGACAATCAGTCACAGCAGACTGTGTGGTGCTGGCCAGGCTCTGGGTTGCAACAGCATTTTGAAAACTTTTCGATCCTGAGCTTTGTTTCGTACTAATCCATGGATGCTGTTATCTACCCTGGACTGGAAGGGAAATTGCTGCAAGATCCAAAACAAGGGTGTAGGCAGCATGAGTGTTTTCCTGCAAAGGCCAAGAGATACTGTGGGGTCTCTGAACAAACCTTCTAGCACCCAGCGTCAGTGTTTTCTCTGAAATCAGCACCTTTTTCCCCAGGAGTCCTCTATTTAAGGAGGGAAAGAACCCCATTTTGGAGGGATGGGAGCAAAACATTTCTGAAACCATCACCTTTTAGAGAAATCACAGATGGAAACCCACAAATCCAGATATCCTGAATCACTTGAAGATGGATTGGGCATCTTGTGCAACCCAGGATATCTACCACCACAGTCTTGCACTCATCCCCTCTCCTGTGAGGTCAGCACTTTGGAAGGACTGACCTCAAATTCCCGGGGCACCAGACTCTGGGAAACCTTCCGTTGTTTCTGTTTCGTAACGATTGCCCGTTGGGGAGGCACTGACCAACTCCCCCTCCCAGTTACCAGTTTGCAAAGCCAAGAAATACCAACATGAAAAGGTCCACGTTCCCTTATCCTGGAATGAACTGACCACGTCTGGTCATACAGGGACAGAGCCCAGAAAACCGTCTACGTGGGCCTTGCTTTCCCATGACAAATTTCCCAATCAGAGCTTGAATAAACATGAGCTCATCACCAATTTGTAATTGTGGAGATTTAAGGCCCTCCTGATCACATTTTTATAGAAGCAGCAGTAAGCTCTCGTTCTTGCTATTCTGCCCATATCTTAATCACTCTCTGACAAAACCAAACACCCTATTTTGAAATCAAACAGATTTCACAGCGGGTGTTCCTTGCCAAGGCAGCGATTCTTGTCTGACTGGACCACTGCCGTGTTCAGTGTTGATTTTGGTGGGCTTCCGACATAAATCTTCCCAAAGACCATTTCTCTCACTGCACAGAATAAGAGCCCTATTGTTACAACTACGATGCATTTGGGACACATCTCCATTGCTCCTTAGACCACGGCAACCACTTAGTGGGGCTGTTCTCGTAACTGAGTACCCTTTTTCTTCTCCTTTTCACTATGGAACAGAGCAGTTCCAGGTATTGCACCTGGGGAAGATGAGGGTGATAACTTGTTGCTCTCAGTCCCCTCTTTTTGGCCAAGTAATGGCTTGGAGGAGTGTTTATACCGAAGTCCAGGCAAAAGCACAATTACAGAAATGTGCAGTCATTTTTGCTCTTGCTGAATCCTGAAATAAACCAAATGAGGTGAATCAGAACCAAATTTGTCTCAAAGTGCCTGGTTCTCACAGACAGACACCTCAGCTATATGAAGTTTTTCCTGGCTTTGCAAGGTTGTAACATGGCTTTGTCAACTGATGCCTGTCCATGATGAGACTGAACCCCAGTTCTTACCCCTGCTGTCAGGGCACTTCAGAGGTTGTTCTTCAACTCACGTGTGCATGGATTATCAAGGGCAATGGACCATGCACTGCTGGTACTGTCTGTGGGGTGAAGGCAGCAGTGCAGGGACCAAGAGCAGCTTGCTGTCTTGATAGGACATGGAGTGGGAGACAAACCAGAGCAACACAACAACATGAACCATGAGTGCAGAACAAAAGGCCTTCAGCCCTGTGGGATCTTCTGGGTAGATCTGTCTGGGTAGAGCTTGCGCTGTGTCTAAGCTGTGTCTGGAGTTGTGGAGGGTGTGTGGGACCTACAGGAGAGGGCACAGCGTGGCATTTCAGGCTGACACAGAGGGCCTGGTGGGAACTGCCCAGGAGAAATGAGGGCAGTCTTGCATGTGGTTCAAAGCAGATTGAATGGATAGAATATATGGCTCTAAGCAATGAAGAAGTGAATTTATTTCAACCACATGCAGCTATTCAACTAGTGAAAAATATTAACTGGGTTTTGATCACTCCCTTTTTTTCTGAGCTACTGTGGTGCTTGGGCAGAACTTCCAACTTCATCATTCTCCTAAAAGTTCCTATATTTGTTTTCCTTAGACTTGAGACTTCGTTGTTTTTTAAAAAGAAAATCTGCCATATCCCTCAGCTGCAAATGATTTAATAGCTCTTGGCTTTGTGTGATCTGAATATTTTCTTGTTCTCTTGCTTTGCAGCTGTGACCTACTTAATTACAAGCAGGAAACAAACCCCAGAATCATTAGACTTTCTGCCTGGCTTAAAGAAGGGGAAAAAAATAAAAATCTCATGTTGTTAAATACTAGGATGTCCTTCTTAATAACAGGAAGTCAAGCTCCAGATAGCAACAGTGAACATTTGAATTCTTTGTGCATCAAGATAAGAACAGCAAAGAGCTTATGGGCTTTATTTTTTTATGGCATGGATGTTTTGGGGGCAGGGGAAATGACAGCCGCTTCTAACAGCCAAAATGGGAATGAGTCATAAATTTCTAAATCAAGACCGTAAATCCTCTTTGTTTTAACTTCTGAACGGCTTCAGTCTGCTCTGCCCATAGAGACAACCAAGTGGCTGACCTGCTGCTTCAATCCAGCAGCTTTCGATCTATTTTATCCTTTTTTCAGGAGGTATGAGCAAACAAGCCAGTCAGTGAGTTGGGATCCCCCATGGCAAATCATCAGGTTGGAAGACAGAGCGTGGGGGAGTTTGATTAACTCCTCTCCACCTCTGCAGATGGAGTCTGGGCTACTATTTATACCTCCTAAAACTCAGTACCCTGTCTGGAAATGCTGGAGGTTCCGTGGGCGCAATAGTAGCTGTAGAAAGCAACCAGAGAAAAGGAAAGCCAGGACTGCCAGCCTCTGTGACTGTCTGTCCCACACGGGCATTTCAGCCCTCTTGTCCCTGTTTATCCGCAGCTCTGGTGGCAGCTCAATAATACAAATCTCCCAGTGCATCGAGAGGAAATAGAAGCTGATGTTTGCTCAGGGTTTTAAACCAGCCAGCAACAGAAGCACAAGTTATCAACTTCTGTCAACTGTGCATGCATTATCACTGTGGATGGCACGGATCCAGCGCTGTCCTACAACGCAAATGGAGATTTTCCATTAGCACGAGCCACAGGGGTCTGTGTTTCAGGAGTAAACGGGGTAGAGGTCAACTCTTATGCTCTACTGAGAAGGCCTAACTGGTCCCAGCTGGGGAGATGTTCTCAGCATGAAGATCTGCTGCAGTACAGTAATCCCCCTCTGTTGACTCCTGCATTTCGCATCTGCAGATTAGTTGTTCTTAGGCAATAGGAACAAGCAAACTGCCCCACATGAGCCAGCTCCAGAGCAGATGCCATGAATGAGTGTGCAAGTGTGTGCTTTGTGTAGTCAGCAGCTCAGTGTGGGACGTTTCTACCCCAGAGTCAACAGAGCCATCCCCTTCCTCCACAGCAGCCTCCCTACATGCATTTAGCATTGCTTGGATGTGTACAACACTCCTCCCACAGGGAGTATATATGTATTTTGGTAGTCTTCACCTCAGGGAACATTTATTTACCCATAGTTATGCTCATTTTGATAATCAGTATAGGAGCTTTCAACACAGAGGGTACATTATCGATCCAAGATATATTAAGTATTTCTGCTTTTTAGTATATGCCTCCCATGGAACATGACCAGTTGGCTTTCTGGCAGGCTGAACACTTATCTGCTTTTTAATGTAAAATAGTTCCCCTGAGATTTCATGTCATCTGACAAATGTCAGTGAGTTAGTCTACTGAGGAAATGGAGACCCATCAAGTTATATGACTCTTCTATGTTGCTCAAGAAACTGGTGAGTTTTCTAGAATAGGACCAGATCCCCCCCCATTTCCACTCCAAAGGTTATATTTGACCTGCTTATCTTTCCTCTTTGTCAAGTGGCAATTACATCCTATCCAGCAATACCAGTACTTTTTGTAACAATCTTTTATAAGGAGCTTCAGAATAAACTAAATATGTGTTCTTTAACTTAGGCAGGAGCAGGCATTCCAACCCATAAGCAAGATCAAACATAAGAAATCTGGACTACTGATTTTCTAAAATCCGTTCCTTATGCCCTTCTCCTTTTTAATGAAATGCTCACTCTTGTCTGTGAACAGAAAGGACTTTGTATCAGTCGTTGCATGCAGGAAGCATCAGGCAGATACTTAAATGTATCTGCAGGATAAGTTGTAGTAAATCGTTCTGCTGCAAGGGACCATTTGTGCTGTGTGTGGGCTTGTTTTGCATGGACAGCAAGGCTGCCCTTCATTAAATTATCCATCTTGCCATAGGGCAGAACTGTAGACTGGCTTTTTATGAGCCACCAGATTTGTCCCCTCTCCCAGGCAAACAGTATCAGTTAAGGGACACCTGCAACATGAAGCATGTGTCCTCCAAACCCACAGCCAAGGCCATTTGGACAGCTTGACCATCATCTGATAAGAGGTGGGAGGCACCAGATAAATGTATAATTCAAAATTATATGAGCACAGAGGTGGCATGGGAACCTCTCATAAAGAATCATAGAATGGTTTGGGTTGGAAGGGACCTTAATGATCGTCTAGTTCCAACCTCCAAAGGTAAATATTTGCTCCAGTCACCAAAGGAATAAGCAAAAGCTTGAAACCAGAAGAGTGTAGCTGCACAAGTGCATGACTACTTCTGAGAACAGCCAGGCGTGTTTGATCCACAGTCTGAGATTCAATGCCCTCCTGACAGGCACAAACACAGGTTTGTATTGTTTCACCCCTGAACCTTGTCAGAGGCTATTTTAAACATGGGTGAATAACATGGTAGGAAAATAGCTCAGCTGCTGGATGAGCTTTAGGTTGTTCCCTATTTATACCTGCCTCCTAAGCTGGATGTGATTTTTTTTTCTGTTTTCCTCTGGCCAAAAATAATTCTCCCAAGCATTTCTGCACATAATAACAGAGAATAGAGTGATGATGAGCCTTGTGGTGATGGGCATCTGCAAGCACATGCTGCTTTGATTGGAGACCCCAGTCACAGGACGTTACAGTCGCCAGCGGGATCAGAGTTAATCATAAGCTTGGGTTTCCAAAGAGAATAATCGTATTTAAGATCTCACCATTCACTTTCTGCGGCTGTTCTGCACTATTTCCTTAATACATTGTCCTGACCTACATCCCCTCCTGCAGACTCATTCACCACAGTGTTCATGGAGAAAGAGGATTGAATAGCAAATCTCTGCACAATCTCTTTCACGTTTCTGCATAGTAGAAGCGAAAATCACTTTAGCCGGTGGAATATTAGGGACAAGTAAAAGCCCAGCTTTATAGGATTCACCTACTTTTAAACCTTGTTAAATCGCTAACACAACTTACTTTAGGAAATGAAATGTGTATGATTTGAGGCTATGACATACTCTCCTGTGTCAGTCAATAAAAA